TTTTTTTTACATTACTGGGGATTGAACTTGGGACCTTGTACTTGCAAGGCAGGTACAGTGCCATGCAGCTAAATTCCCAGCCCTGGACCTTGCTTCTTGATCCATTCTGCCGCTCTGTTTCTTTTGATTGGTGAGACCACCAACACTGATGGTTATAACTGATGTGTATTGTCTTATCTCTGCTGTGTTATTTTCCTGATGTTGGCTTCCTTCTTTCTTTTTCTGTTTAATTTCTTCCCTTGCCTGGTGGATTTATTCTGCTGGAGTTCATGGAGTTGTAATCCTTACTGTCTCTTTCTAGATTATCCTTCAGAATACTTTGGAGTGTTGATTAGATGGTCATGAATTTCTTCAGGTGTTCATTGTCATAGAAGTATGGTATTTCTCCATCAATTTTGAAGGATGGTTTTTCAGGGTACATCAATCTGGATTGGAGGTTGTTTTCTTGTTTTTGATGTGCTGGAGATGGAACCCAAGGTCTTGTGCATGGTAGGCAAACATTCTACCACTAAGCTACTGCCAGCCCTTCTTCATTTTTAAATTTTGAGATGGGGGTCTCACTAAGTTGCCTAGGCTGGCTTACACCTGTGATCTTCTTCCCAAGCTTCCCCAGTATGGATAAAATTTTTTATTATGTTGGGGGGAAGAAGAGGGTAAGGGAAGCAGGGAAGAGGGGAGGGAGGAGCAGAGGGGGTAGGAAAAACAAGAAACGGGAAGGGTGTGAACCAAGGCGATGGAGTACCTGCTCTGAGCACCAGTAAGGGCAGAGCTGGGGGACCTGTAACCAGCAGCTGCTGTGTTTTCCCCAGCTCTCTGCAAAGCGAGGACACACCCTGGGGACCACATGACTCACTCAGCCACAGAGGGACAGCCTTCCACAGCCAGAGGCCCAGGGCAAGAGGAGCCTGGGCTGTAGGCAAAGGGACCCGCCCCTCTGTCCCCAGAGCCAGGACAGCCTGCCTTAGGTCTGCCTCAGAGAGACAGCCTGACCGTGTTCTCTGGACAGTGAGTGACATTGCCTGGTAGCTTTGGGAAGCACAAAGATGACTTGTGTCACAAGGAAGCCAGGTCACCCACAACCCCCTTGAGGGTGCCTTCCACCACGCTCTATGTCCCCAAGGCCACTGTGGGTTGGGGGTACCATCACGGGCCAAGCACACATAAAGGGTAAGGACTGGAGGTGCTCACATCAGCACCCACAAGGCATGGGGCACTGCCCTAGATGTGCCCAGGGGCAGAGAGCTCCTAATTGTCTCCCAGTCCTTAGAAGACAGCTTATAATCAAAGGACGCTGCCACTCAGGACACACAGACGATGTCTTCACACTCACTGTGAGGACACATAGGGCAGGGGGCCCCACTCTGCCAGCACCCCTCAGCCCTCTCCTCTGTGAGCATCTGTCCACCATGGCAGCAGGCCAAACAGTCCCACCAGAAGTGAGGTCCAGAGAGCTCTCTCAGCAGCAGCAATGGGCAGCAGCCACTCTCAGGCTGCAGTACAGGTGCCCAGGACACAGCCCGGGAGGACAGAGGGCTGTGCTCTCCTGCCGACCCGGCCATGCTCTCTTCGGGAACCCCTCGGAAAGCCCCAGATGGTGGAAGCACTTACACTGTACTCGGCTGACACTCCTCGGTCTGTCTCCCGAAGCGAGCTCCACGGGAACTGTCCGGTGACTTTGTACAAGTTTACAGAGAAACTAGGAGACAACGGGACAGAACGGCACACGTGTAAATCACCCATGTAGAGCAGCTGACTGTCGGCTCTCTGTGAACATTCATGGCTTCCACTCGAACTCTCACGCAAGGCCACCGCACTCAATGACCTGCTTGGCTTCCTACTTTCTCTCGAAGTTCCCAGGCTGTGGTTTGAAGAAGGACAGGCCGTAGGACGTTTCTTTTGTTCCATAGGAAAACTGAAAAGTCACTTTTTCTGCACGTCCTAGCAAATTGGGGAGTTTGAGGCCAAGGACCTAAGAAGGGAACAAAGGAAAGCAGTGGCTGAAAAGGAAGGAATGGAGGAACACATAATACAGGCTCAGCTAAGTAAGGGACTGTCACAGAAACAGTACAAATGCAGACCACAGACCAGACCATCTGTCACGCAGACACGGTCACCACAGAGGCAGGTGACCTTGCCAACCTTGAATCTCAAGGACACAAATCCTATGCATGTGAAGTTTAAAAGAAATTTGAACAGGGACTACTTTTAATAAGAACAATTTCTAAACCATTCATAATGATTGTTACCAAATGTTTTAAACTACCTTCTAATCAATACTAAGGAGGTTAAAGAGAAGCTGCAAACAACAGATTAAGAGATAGGAAGTGAGAAAGAGTTTTGAAGCTATCGTCAGCTTTTAGACAGCAGTCACGTTTTTAAAGCTCATATTCCAAGTTCCAACAAGAAAAGAAAAACCTTCCACCATACCATGCTGCCTTCATTATTTCCGACCATGGTGTTGTAACTGCCTGTCAGCCTCCTTAACTCGGTCACTTCAAAGGTGACATCTAGCCCATTTGGAAGCGCGTCATCACCTAAGGAAATAAAAAAGATTAAACAAGAAGACAGTTGGAAAATGTTCTTTTATTTTCGGTCCCACAGCTAAAAAGAAAAAGACAAAAAGCAATTGGAAGGTTCACTTTATTTTACAATCTCCTTAGAAAATATGCCCTCTATTTTAAAGTTTAAGAAGACTCCTACA